GTGCCCTCGGAGAGCATCTCTGAAGCTGGGTCTAGGGGTACCCCCCTCACCACACAGCCCTGCTTGGGGCTTCCCGGCTCTCGGGCTGGCGCGGGATGATGTGTCTGAAGCCATAAATCTTCCCCAGCCCGTGAGTAATGTACGTTCCGTGCTGCTTGACTAATCTGCCTGTGAAACATCAACAGGCTCCCGAGCTGCGGCGGGGCGGGAACCCGGGCATTTTGTGTCCGTGGTCTCCGGCCAGATCGCTCCCGTCAGAACCAAACGTTTCTCAGAGCTGCATCTTGTTTTCAGTCAGGTTTGGGCTGAGGGATTGGTCAGGAAAGTCCATGGCAAAGGGACATGGAGCAAACGGCGATCTGCTGTGAGCTGCTATTGTGCAAGGAAGCTTATATAGCAGGTCTCTTGTGCTCTTTTGTGCTAGCTGTAAATTAAAATGAAGTTTAAAATCGAAAGCATCTAGTCTGTAAATAGGTAGAAAAATGTCTGGTTGTTCATAATGTGATTGTGTTGGGAATAGTGATTTTGCCATGGGTTGGTACATCCCTTTCCCCATTTAAAAGCAAGCAGGTGACATACTGGCCCCGGTATGAGGTCCTTGCAGTGCCAGGTCCTGGTGTCCAACTGTTCGACCTGTCAAGATGTCTTGGAGAAGCGTGTGGAAACCTGGCAGTACATAAGCAGGGGAATAATCTGCCTCCCATGCTGGAATTCATCCACTGCTGTTGTTATGGAGGCTTCAGATTACAGAGTCATTCAGTAGGAAGTCAACAGTCAAGGGTGTGCTGTTGACACATAAGATTTAAAGCAGATCCATCTTATGCTCTTGGGCTTGGATTCTGCCACTGCATGGGGCGTGTTGACCTGGCCCGTGATTGATTTTTGTGTAACTGAGAAAATACGAGCTTGAACATCTCAAAACTGCTGCTTCCTTACTGCTGCACTGTTCTCGGGTTTGGGTCCCCCTACCAGGCAGCAGCATGGATGAGGGAGATGTGCAGCTGAGATGTCCTGCACTCAGGTTTAGGTGGTTCTGGTGGAAGTGTCAGGCTCCCTGCATTGTTGCTGTGAATGCTGTCCACCTGCACTGTTGCTGCTGTTCCCCTTCTGCATTGTGGTGGTGGAACCTGCAGGAGTGGTGCCTGCGCTGCAGTTGTCATTATCTGTGAGGAGGGGACATGGAATGGGAAGGGGGAGCTGAGGCTGTTGGTGTCCTGAAGCTGGGGGAAGATTCCTCTGTGTCGGGGGCTGTGTGAGATGCCAAACCAGAACACCTATCTGGAAGAGGCCTGCGTCCCCCATGGGGCTGAAACTGCCTTGGTCACTTCATTTCCCTGTGGCTGTGCTGACAGAGAGCAAACGGGGGACACGAGGAACCTTGTCCCACAGGTTTCATTCCCTCACAGGAGCCTGTGCTGAGTAGCTGTCAGAGGTGTGAGCTCCTATGGTGTTCCTGTTGTTTCCTGGAGGCAGTGTCAACATGAGGTCTGTGGAGGAAGCAGTCTGGCTGCGTGGCGTGTGGCTCCTCATGGCTGTTGCAGAGGAAGTTTGCCCAGGGCTGTGAGCAGCAGTACTTCAGTGCCTGCCGGAGCTCCAAGGGCATCCCAGCCACAGCAACTGAGACGTGCAGTGAGGTGCCTGGGACCCATCTTTGAACTTAGACCTGCAGTCAGCCATCTCCCACCCCTTGTTAGCTGCTAGGGCAATGGGGGCAGTGTCTGTTTCATTCTCCTGCATGCATTTCCTGTCTTACACACGCATCATCCCTGCAGCTCTGGGCAGCATGCTGGGTGCAGCATCCTCTGAGAGCTCCTGGTGGCTGCTGCCACCCCCAGGGACCTGTGCTGCAGTTCTGTGACTGCTTGGGGGCTTCCCCTTTTCACATTGCTACATGGATCTGCTGGTTTGCAGGTCTGAAGAATGTGGAGATGTTGATGCAAATCGTTTTCATAGACAGTCTTTCATTGGCCTTGGATGAAATAAGGGGTTATAGCTCTCCTCAGTAATCATATAGTTACAGCAGAGCTCCAGCAAAAGCAGATGGACAGTCTTGAACTAGAGATCCTAGCTGTTAATTTGTATAGTCACTACTATGTGGTGTTTGAAAAACCACCAGCTGAGTCTGAACCTCAGCTGAGCTTTTCCTGTAAGCTTGAAAGGATGTTTTGTAGGGACTCTTTTGTTAATAAATACTTTGAGTGCATATATATGTCCTCAGATATCTAAATATGTCTTTCTGTGGAAGTCTGACTGGCTCAGAGGAATCTACCACCTACAGTAGGAGGATATGGTGCTACTTAAAGATAGAAACAGGTTAAAGGAAGGAAAATACTGCCCAGTAGTGTCCCAGCACTAACTCTGTGATCTATGTTGCTTGTTCATATCTGTTATGGGTATCTTAGCACAGAAATGAGACACCAGAGGCTCATTTAAAAATGCCATTACTAGATGCAAAATCTACATGTAGATTTCTTGAGAGCAGCCTGCAAGGAGGCAGCTTTGGAGCTCCCAGTGGAAACCTGTGTATTTTCTCTCCTTGCAGGAAACATAGTGTTGAGCAGATTGCAGAAATAAACAGAATCCTTGCTTTGTGTCATTCACAGCTTTTGTAAAAAGGATGATCACAACAAAGAGAATCTCTTCAACAGCCTGAACTATGATGTTGCTGCCAAGAAGAGAAAAAAAGACCTGCTGAATAACAAAGCCAAGATTCAATGTAAGATGTCTATTTGGGCTTTTTTTTTTTTTTTAAAGAGTTGCTGCAATAGAATGGAAAATGCTTCATATCTCTGGTTTTTGCACAGTGCATGAAGCCTTCCAGAGAGTCTTGAAGGGCTTTGTGCCCAAGTTTGACCTAAGTAGAGAACTTGGATGCAGTTTAATGTGAAGATTTATGCCCCTGTTATAATCCTTGCTCTGAGGAGTTGTGCTTGTTGTGTTCAAATTTGTCATTTGTGTTTGTCAGAAGGAGGGTAATTTTTTCCTATGGTACATTCAAATGAATCAGTTCCAGGCCTTTTCCCCCCACTCTGTAGACTTCCTTGTGCACAACAGGCTAAATTTATTCTTCCTTCCATATGCATGTTGAGCACTAATCTACATTACTGGAGGCTATAAGCCTGAATGCGAGCTTTGATCCTATCTCTGTGCGCGCAGTGCGTGAAAAATGAAATAAGATTTGAGCTCCCTCAAAACAATGGAAGGTTTGAAATCTCTCTGTGCTCAGTGAGCAGCAGGGGTCTCGATGGTGCCCTGTGGAGGACTTGGGGGAGCTTGCAGGGGCAGCAGGGTCTGTGTTGGTCTGATTGGAAGATAGGTACTAGAGTTCAATGTGAGGGCTACAAATGTAAACATAGAGGAAATGAGTTACAATTCCCACACTACTATTAGCTCATTGTGCATCCCCCAGGATTTCAGAAACTGGTGCCAGAAGTTGGCCCCTCAGTGTATTTGGTTCTCTGAATAAACAAATGTTACCATGACAGTTTTTGGCTGGATTCTGCTGTGACCTACTATTTAAAAGGGCCTGATGCAGGGTCTGCACATCTGTAACTGAGATGGGTTGGCCTTGGGCTCACAGTACCAGGCAGCAGTGTCATTGCTGCATCCTTAGGCGGCAGGGCTCCAGAAGCACAATATTTTCTTTAAGGAGAGGAGTCTAGCAGGACAGGGAGAAGAATTTTTCTTACACTAGCTGTTGAATTGACAGTGTGTGGTGGATGTAGTGTCAAAAGCCTGTGGGAGGAAGACTGAGCAGCAAAACTGCTTACAATAAGGGCTCTACTGCAAACCAAGTTAGTGTGTGGTGGGTACAGGAAAGCTATTTTGGGGAGTGGATGGGACAACTCCCATTTCTGAGGGAAGGGAGGGGCAATTAGAAATAGGAAAATTTTGGTCCCAAATAGTTTTTTCTTTTTTAGCAAGTTAGCTGCAAGCACAAGCATGCTCCTCTGAGCCTGACCTCACTGCTAAAAGCTCTCTCTCACATGCCTAGTGTCTCATGACATTTTTGCTCAACTTCAAATTTGACATTCAATCCCAAGCCTGTAACCAAGGTAATGAATAGTTAATAAAATCAATAACAACAGAACCTGGCTGTCAGCCACACTTACTGTCTGGGACCAAAGAAGAGGAGGTGCTGTGGTATATCTGTGGCTGGCAGATTAAACATTTAGAGTCTTGAGCTGTGTCACTGAAACAGGAGCCCTTTCTAAGGCTCAGGGCTGCATTCTCAAATGAAGGAGTATGGAAACAAAGCAGCTTAGCAAGTTGCTAGATTTGGTTTCAAGTGCAGATGGTGTAAACACAAAATAACTTCATTTGCTCTAAAAGGGCAGTGAGTGTTATGAGCAGAACAGAGATCCAGCCCTCTGAGGTGGGAGGTTAACTGAGCAAAATGTCTTTGTCCAAACAGATTTCCACCAGGAGAAGTGGATCTATGTTCACAAGGGGAGCACAAAAGAGGTGAGTGCTTCCACAGGTTCTTTGTTCCATTTTCTACTGTGGTTTTTTTCCATGCAGTGGGAGATACTGTGTTGATATAAATCAGCAGAAGCTCTTCAGAGATAAGTGGAAGATCTGGCTTGTGGTTGGAATTTCAGTAATGATTTTAAGCCCCAATCAGGGAGCCAGGGCTTGCTGTACATGTGTTTAAAATATGACTTGTTTGCTTCCCTCAGTTAAAAAAAAAAACAACCCAGCCATTTGCAGACCAAGCCATAATACTGTTCTTGGCTTTCACCCAGAACAGTCCTAACATGGAAAATCATTGGAATTCATCACAGTGCCTTGCTTGCGCTCATGGAGAAAAGCAGCCATATGAGACTGCTCTGAACTTGCCCTATATATTGAACCCTGGGAATTTGTGGCTCATTCTCACCCATAAATTCATGGGTCATGAGCAAAGCTCAGGTCACTGTTGAGGAAAACACCATGATCTACATGTGGCCATGCCCACTCCTGATGTCAGTAAGTGTGGCTCTGTGGGAGGCCTCCTCCAGCTGCAAGCTGGTCCCATAGTTTGTACCCATTAGCTTGCTCAATTGAGTTGCCCTGGGTCACATCTACCTGGTGCTGTCTGGACTCGTGTTGGTCAAAACATGACCTAGACTGTGTTTGCTTCTCAGCGCCATGGTTACTGCACCCTGGGGGAAGCCTTCAATCGACTTGACTTCTCCAGTGCTATCCTGGACTCGAGGAGGTTCAACTACGTTGTGAGGGTGAGTTGAAGGCCAGGGTTTATTTTGCTGTGATGATGGTGGAGGCTCTGAACTGAGCTGCAGTTGGGTGATGGGAAGCACTGGCAAAGAGAGGCCCAGGCATGAAACTGAGGGAGTTGTGCTTTGCTACATGAAGTAAGTGATGGTAGCTGTGGTGATGGATGACCAAAACCTCCTTTTTGATCTGTTGAAATGGAGAGGCAGATTGGTGGTGGTAACATAGGTGGTGGGCTGTCCTTAGCCCAGCATTCCTGCTACCTTTCATTTGTGAAATTCACTTTGGAAATCCAGAAGACTTAGTTTTTCATTCCTGACTTCTCAGTTCAGCTTAAGTGTCATTTCTGTAGCCCAGAAGGAGCATGGGCTCCCTGCAGAGGCCTCTTTGCATAGGAGGCTCCAGCTCCATGAGGGCTGTGGGGCTTTATCTTGCTGGAAGTGGTAAAGGAGAGACACTGGGGAGCTGAGCATTTTGGGAATGAGAGGATGTGCTGAAGCTCTTGGAGACACTGATCTTAACTTCTCTGCCAGGGGTCATGGTTGCTTTAAATCCTGTGTGACTGGCAGTGGTTTCAGTGGGTGAAGCATTTGGTTAGTCCTGACACCATTAGTTGGCAGGAAGGAGGCATCAACCCCAGGTTCCTTGTACTCTGGCTTTGTGTAACAGCTCTTTTGGCTCTGTGTGGCCGAAGCGGGTGGTAGTGTGGAAAGCAACTGTCTCAAGGGCTGTGGGTGCTTGTATGTTTATGTGCATGTGATCTGCAGATTGATCTTGAATTTCAGATGTTTATCAAGGTTTGGAATTCAATAAGCTTAAAAAAAAAATCTGTTATTAACTTGAGGCTGTTTATAAACAGCTCCTTTTCACATCTCGGCAGCAGCTGATCACTGTTGAGGCACCAGCTGTTCAGGTTTTAGGTTCTGGAGCAAGCAACATTGGTGTTGCTTTCCCTTTGAGTCAAATGTCATGAAATGTCTAAGGAAGAAGTGAGCTGAGTAGGTTCACCTTGGTTCATTTAGGTGACAAGGAGCCTGTGAAAACCTCTGTCAGGCTGGGAAGGTATCTTGCATGGGACTACAATGATTGAGCAGAATCCCCATTTAACATTTTGAACAGTAAACTGAAGTTTCAGTGAGGCTGGTGTGGTCTGGTGGGGAGGCTCTGGCTGACCTTCTTCCCCCTTTTTCCCATGAAAGCATCCCAAATCTGCTGTGTCCAAAATATCAGTTTTCTATATGGAAGTCAGTATGTGTCCTTGTTTCTACAGATTGCCTCTCTCCTGAGCTTTTAAGAATAGTTTTCCCCATGGTAGTTTTAAGGATACAGCACTACTGAGAAGTATGAAGCTTCCTAATTGAGGCTGACTTGTGGTTTGGCAGATTAAAGAAGGTATTAAACCTGGCACCATGGATCAAATACAAAACTGGTTTCTTAAAATGAAAGGCTTCTATCAGCCAAGTCTCTGGTGGATAGTAGCTCATAAAGTGCCTTGTGGGCCAGATTTACTCACGAAGAGCTCTGCATAGATGAGGATCTTGTTTATGGTCCTTTGCAGATCACAGGTCTCCTAGAGCATACAATGAGCAGACTGTCACATGGAAAATGCCTCTGAACATTGGCAGGCATAACGTTTTTCCCTTCCCTCCCTTGTTCTCTCTAGTTCCACCCGTTGCTTGGGGTATCTGATTAATGTCACGCTTACTTAGTTCATCAAGCAAATGCTTTCCAAGGAGGGAAGTTTAGAGGTGGAGGCTGGGGAAGAATATGAGGATGTTTGTAGGAGAAAAGAGGAGAGAAACAGCTGCAGGCTTGGGATTCTGTTGGCTACACATGAACTTGCCCTGTAGAGAAATAAGCTGCATCACTGCTGACAGCAAAATGGGCTTTCAGGCTGAGCGTCAACTTGTCTTTTTTCAAAGCATTCCTTTCTGAATTTCTCTGAATTTAAGTGCTGCAGTGGTTTTGGTGCTGATTTTCTTGTCATACAGAAGTGTCTGCTGCTTAAGATATTCCCAAACTAATACTAACAGTGTGCTGATCAAATGGGCACCTCTGAGGTGGTGTGAGCTACAAGAAGCTTGGCAGGTATTCATGTAGCCAGTGAGTTCATATAACTGAAGAAATTCTCTTCCAACATCAATCTCATCTTGACAGTCTGATGATACCATGCTGGAAGTGCTAAGTCTAGGCATTGCTGCTAGGACTTGATTCTTGCTGATCTTTTAAACTACACCATCTGCCTACATGTTACAGGACAAAGTTTTAGAGCTAGTAAGGAAGTGATTGATACAGAGAACCCAAACTATTCTCGGTCTCAAAGCAGCCCTGGTTTCTCTGGTCTTAAAGACTGGAAGTGTTCTGTAAGCATAAGTAATACAAGCAAAGACAAAAGTGCCTACAGCCCAGAAGATGTTTCTTCTCCCTTGGGAACACTGTTCAGATGACAGTGAGGTTTTACAGGCTGCTTCAGAAAGACTTGTTCTCTGATGCTGGTGCAGTAACATCTCCAGGGAAGGTGCTGTTTCTGATCATAAAAGCTTAGGTCAGGTTAAGCTGCATGGGCGCAGTTGTTCTGGAATAACATGATCTAGGTAGTGTGCAGCCTGCTAAAGTAGTCTCTTAAATTTGTTATGTTTTTACAGCAGCTAGCTCCAGGAGTCCTGGATTTATGCTGTGCTGAAAGAATCAGCTCGATGCTGTCTCATAGAGATCTGTCAGCACCTGTGCTGTAAATCATTGTAACTCGCTTTGCTGTTGCTCTACCTCCAAGCTGAAAGCCAGTGTGACATTTCAGCCACAAACTGAAGGGCTGTGAGAACAAGGTGGGGCTGGAGAAGGAATTTTTCATTGCAATACATTTTTCTTAAGCAGTGCAGATGTGAGGAACTATAATCCCCAACCAGGAGGAGCTTCTGGATCCCCACAGGGTGCGGTCCAGGTTCCCTGTAGCTGGTTTGAGGCATTTAAAGGGGGATTTACACTTGAGTAGTTTGAGACTTGTGATTTTAATAATTACCAATCATTTCCCTTCTTGAGTCAAGGTTACACCCTTCTGCTGGCTGCAGCAGACCTGCTGAGGGGTTTCTGGCTCTCTATAAGCCCCTAGATGTAGGTTATTTGGGGTACTGGATTGCCCACGAACCCCGGTGTTGAATGGAGGCAGTGGCAGAAGGGCTGTCTGGCTGCAGCAGGTCTAAGCAATGCTGTGCACAGTAGCTGCTGTATGTGACTCATGTCACATGTTCTCGTGGTCCTTTATTCCCTGCCACATGGCAGTGTTGTGTTTGCTGGGTTTTTCCCTTGTGCTCATGGAAGGAGGACCTGCTCTGCTCCTGGAGCTGAGTGGCTCGTTGCACCAACTGCTTTAGACTGACTGCTAGTGGAGTTTGAGCAGGAGCCCCATCACACTCATGGGGAAGTGAGCAGGTTATTGCCCTGCTGCTGAAGAGGCTACCTCCTGCCAGCTTTGCAGAGGCCCCACTGCACCTCTTTACCCTTCCTCTGTTTCTAGGAGACCTCTGAGAGCACACAAAATATGGGTGAGATGGTAGGAAGGATTTTCTGGGCAAGCTACCCAGTCACCTTTATCAACTTCTGAGGAGTTGGAAGAGTGAATTAGGATCTAATGCCCTGCTTTCTGAAGGTCTTGCAGACTTCCCAGCCCTAGTTAAAATCGGCTGGAATGTGACCACTTAGAGGTTTTGGAAAGCAGGCCTTTTGAAACTGCTCTTAACCTTTCCCTGGGCTCGCTCTCCTACCATCTGTCCCTCTCAGTTGAGCGTGGGCTGGACTTAATGCAACTGCATCCTAACACATGCTTGCAGCTCTCCAGCCTTTTTAGCCTGCTCAGCATTAATCTGAATTCATCAGTTTGCTCTTAGTCTGTATTATGCAAGTGGCAACATTGATTTGCTTTTTCATAATGCTGTAGGTTCCAGTTTGGCAGTCCATTAAGAGACCATGCTCTGGGTCTGTGCCAAGGCTAAGACCCTCAATGCACTGGAGCATGTGGGTCTTGCTTAGCGTGTGGATAAACTGTTTACCTGGTTTTGGTGTATTACATGAGCACAGAAGAATAAAAAGTGCCTTGGTTTGGAGGGCTAAGCCAGTTGCTTCAGCCAGCAGTCTCTGCGGAGCAATCCTAGAAGTATTTGCAATGTAGTTTTCATATGGAATTTCATCCTGTGTTTATTGCTGCAGGGGAAGGGAGGTGACACATGATATCTGAGCTGGTTCACTGAACATAAATTGAACCTTGATAAACACAGACAAGGCAAATTTGAATCTGTTCCTCTGCTAAATTGGGACAAAATTAATTTAGGCATTCTTCAAGGAACTGAGATTTTTCTCCTTGTTCGTAAAGAATGGCCCTGGCGTCTCACTCTTACAGTGTTGCATTACATGATGCTTATCACTGGGTGCATTTTGATGTTTTCAGTAATGGGCACAACATTGCTAACACCCAGCCTGGAAGAAACTGTCTCTGTGCCAGTTCCAGAATGGTGCAATCTGGAGACAGCAGTTGTTTATGCACAGAAGAGCTGATCTGGGTGCATGTGTGGCTAATGTACAGATGGAGTCTGGTGAATTGATCACTATAATCAAAGGTCTGAAGGCTGAACAGTTCCATGTAAGCAGGGTATTACAGGCTACTTTTGGGGCACTGATATTTTTCTACTTACTCCTCCAGTATTTCAAAAAATGAAGAGAAGACCTTTTCTAAAACATCTCAAGCATCTTGCAAACTGCCTTGTTTTTAAGAGTATCTAGTTATTGTCGTCTCAGTTTAGCTGGTATAGCAAGAAGATCCGCTAATGCCTGTGCACCATATATTACCCAGCTCCTGCATCTCTTGTTTCCCCTCAAATGAGCCAAGAAACCAGGCAGCCTGCCCTTCATAGGGTCTAGCACAGGTCTCTTTTCATCTTGTTTTCTTTCGGTCATGCAAGGTACAGGATATTAATAGAATGTAAACTCAAAGCCATCTGATGGTGGTGTTGGCCTGGAAATCAAATGGAAGAAGCTCAGCCACTCAAGGCAACTTCACTGCTCCTAAGTGGCAGTCACATGCGAGCAGAGCAGGCGAATGACTGCAGAGACACCTCTCCCCAGCTCCCTGCTTCATGGCAAGCTGCCGGTGACTTTTTGGATACATCCCTGTCATTCTTTCAGCGGGGCAAACAGCTCAGCTCATGACTTATCAAGTCTTGTCAAAAGCCATCTTAGTTACTTGACACAAGTAGTTGCACCTTCTCTGGGCTCTGCAGTGCCAGCAACTGGATACTGTAGCTGCAGATGATAAAGGATTAATAAGCTAGTCATGTGGTAACGTGTTGATTGACTTGTAGCATAAAAGGTTTTCCCTTTCCTTTCTAAATTAAAACAGAAGGCTGTGTACATCCAAAACAAACGGACTGACACGTGGATGGCCTGTGTATTTATATAATGCTGGGGGAAGGGAGGAAGGCTTGAAAGATCACAGGCCACATGTTCTGCAGTGCATGATCCATAGGAAACTTCTACAGCTGTTCTTTTGGTGGTAGATCTGGGGAGGAGAGGGCATCTTCCCTGTGGGAAATGCTTCCTTTAGCATCTGTGGCCCAAATCCAGTGTTCAGCTTGTACATGAGTCGGATCAGTGATGGGAAACAAATCCTAATGGAAAGTAAAAGCGAGACCTCCTGAGGGGAGGTTAGCAAGTAAACAGGACAAATGGGGAAAGGTGAGTTGGTGTTTCAGCTGTAAGAGCTGAACAGGGGAGGAAACCTTGGAGGAACAGGAGTTTGTTGAAGGGGGGAGGCTGTTTTTAATACACTGCTCAACCTCTGTGTCATAGTGACAGCACTCTGACAAAACCCATGCAACCCAGGAGCTTGACGTAAATCGTGGAGTCTGATTCTCATTAATGCTCCATCAATAATATCCCCATCCAAACAGGCATTCGTTCGTGTTCCCTTATGACAGTGCTTGTTTATGCCCCAGCGAAGGACAGTGACGTTGGCTGTTCGTTGTTCTCTTGGTGTGAATAGAGGCTGCTGGTCTCAGTGCTGCTCTGTGGTTTCTCTGCATCTCTGAACCATGAAATCAAGTTTTCTCCCCCCTCCCAAACCATTAGAATGCCTTTATTCCCCCCTTCAATGTGGGTTTAATTATCTGGCCTCTGCTCTCCTCCCCGTCCACATTAGTTTGCTCTGTGGTTCTGTCTCCCTTTTATTTTCCAGCAGCAAACGAGTCCGTGGACTATTTTGCTGTGTCATGTGACCAGGAGTCAAGATTAGGAAGGTATCTCTGTGCTCTGAGGCTTGCAACCCCTATTTTTATCCACAGCTGCTGGAGCTGATAGCGAAGTCTCAGCTGACGTCACTGAGTGGCATTGCCCAGAAAAACTACATGAACATCTTGGAGAAAGTGGTGCAGAAAGGTAAGAAACAAGCAGGGAGGGGGAGGAGGAGGTGGGTCTGATCTAATCTGCAGTCCTGTGAACCACATCCTTGAGAACAGCCAGGCAATACAGGATGGGTGAAGAGGGGCACCGTTGCTTATTTCTGTAGTGCAGTCCCGTTTTCCTTTCAGTGAGGGACTGGAGAAGGGGGTGAGTGGGAAATGGCTGTGTTCCAGGAGGTATCTGAGGCGATTCCTCCTTTTCCTTGCTACCACCCCTTCTGCATCCTACTGAGTCCTATTTCTGACTGCAGAAGAGATGGCTGCTCCTGCCCCCAGCCTATCTGCAGCCTCTGCTGCCGCCTTGTTGCCAGTTTGCTGTATCATCAAGTGCTCCCACTGCTCCAGAGGGAAGGAAAGCTCCAGAGCTGTCCTTACCTGCTGGGGAGGCTGAATTGTGGTTGACATGTGGCACTTCCCTCCCTGCTGCTCTAGCTCTGTCTGAAGCCTGGGAACTGAGAGCAGCCTCTTGGTGTGTGTGTATGTAATGAGAAAGGAGATCCTGAGCTGTCTCCCTGCACATCAGCTGGGGTAGATGGGGAAGAGGTGCACATGGATATCAGAGGGGAAAACTGGCTGCTTGCCAGTAGTGGGAAATGGGAAGTGATGCAGAAAGGGCAGATAGCTTATCTGCTTATCCTGGAGGATCTCTTTCCATCTGCTGTCTAACCTACTGTGCCTGGCTAATGTTTAAGTGCTTTCCTCTAAAAAGAAAAGCACAGGCTCTCTCCTGCCCTGTGGGGTTATAGCAGATGACTTGACTTGCCTGAGAAACACACAGATTTAGAAAAGGATTTGGGTGGTTTCCAATTTTAACCTTTCCTGTTCTTCCAAAGTCCTTGAAGATCAGCAGAACATCAGGCTCATACGGGAATTGCTGCAGACCCTCTATACATCCCTCTGCACGTTAGTTCAACGGGTTGGCAAGTCTGTCCTGGTTGGAAACATCAACATGTGGGTGCACAGGATGGAGAGTATTCTCCACTGGCAGCAGCAACTGAACAACATTCAGATCACCAGGGTAAGCACAAATCCTGAAAGCTAAAAATAATGTGGCTCCTTTGTGAAACCTTCTCATGTAGCAGCTCTCACTTAGGTGACTGCATCCCACTGTACTCCCAAGTGCAAGCATAGAGTGCTGGGGAAGGAACTGGAGTTGCCAAAATAACTGGATGCATTCCTGGCATTACTTGTGTCCCTTAAATCAAACTCAGTGTACATGACCCAGGACCATGCTCACTGTTACTGGTCACAGACCGTGGTTTGACTCCTTAATGGCCATGAAGTGTTGTGCAAACAGAGCTGGACAGGAAACCACTTCCCCTCTTGAGAGTCTTCAGAGACTAGGCCTCAGTATGAAAAGTCAGCTCAGTCTTTCTGAAACTGAGACATTGTCATCAGAACTTGTTTATCAGACAGTTGAGGGGTTTAGGTTTGTTTAATCTGTAAATTAAATGCAAATTTCCAAATAGCTGTGTAACTTCATGCTTCCTGGCTAAAAACATCAGTGACTCTTCCAATAGTCTGGAGCTGCCTGTTCTAGCCAGATGAGTCCTCCTTTCACAATGTGGTTTTTTTCAGCAGTGTCTGTGGGGATGGGAAAGATGTACTGAGAAATTCCTAACCTGGCTTTGCATGGGAATAGTCTGAAGTTGCTCCATTTCACAGAATCACGGAAGGGTTGAGGTTGGAAGGGACCTCTGCAGGTAGTCTGGTCCAACACCCTTGCTCAAGCAAGGACATCTACAGCCAGTTGCTCAGAACCATGTGTAGACACTTTCTCCACTTTGGATATCTAATCCACAGAAATTATAAAGCTTTCCCCCAGGGCTGATCTCTGGTGTGCCCCTTGTTGGACTTTCCTGTAGTGAACTGGACTGTGAAGTTCCCACTTGAGCAGACCAAGTCATGGCTCAAGAGAATATAAAGAGCATCTTTTTCTCTGCTGGGTCAACCAGAGAGACATTTGCAAGGGGCCTGCTTTCATTACTTCACAGGGCTGTTCTCTGGGAACACCAGGAAGCAATTTCCAGTCCTTCAATTAAGTGATGCAGGCAACAGGACACAGGAGATGAACTCTGGGGAGTCTGAAGAGCTGCACAAGCAGCAGTGCCTTGTCTGATGGTGGTCAGGGAGTCCCCAGCTCTGCTGTCCTCCTGGTGTGCAGCTCTTGGAATGGGCCTTGCAGGGGAAGCACTGGCCCAGCTGTGGGGTGGCTCAGGGGCACAGCCAGTCTGTGAGCACTGCTTCCCTCTGCTTTAGGAACTCACAAAAGACAAACAAGCATTTCAAAGAACTCTGCTTATCCAGACAAAAGTGCATCAAAATACTGCTTGTGGACGGGACTTTCGTGTGTACTTACATGTATGTTTACAGGCTTTTTTAGAATAAATAAAACATGTTGAGCTTGAAAAAAAAAAATTCACACCCCTGAAGCTGTCTTCAGGTCAAGTTAGAACAAAACCAGCTGAGTTTAGAGGAAGGAAGAACAAGCTCAGCTCTGTGCAGCCAGTTGCTTACAGTGCACTGAGTGCTCCTGGTGTTTCTAGATGGGAGGAAAATGTCTTGCAACAGCCAAGATCTAAACCTTTAAAACAAAGAAACTTGCAAGATGTTGTGTGCTAGAGCTGCTTTAAGAAAAACCAAATCCAACTCTGTCCAGAAAGTGACAGCAAACTACTCTGATCTCATCTGTGTTCCTTCTCCAAAAAAAGTAATGTTTGAAAGTCCTGGAAAGGAGTGCTGAGGGAAAAGAAGTAGCAGATAAGTCTTTGGCCCTGACTCAGGAAACCTGTAATGATTTGCTTGAGTCACTCTGGTTTCTGCAGAAATAAGACGTAAGCGTGTGCTTTGGGACTTTTTTGACCCAGGAGTCTCTGAGCTTAGTCTTGCAAAGCTTTCATGTAAAGAGTACAGGAGAATGCATGAGAGGCTGGCAGGGGAGATCAGTGGGAGGTGATCCAAGGCTCCAACGCATTCTTCCTACCCCAAACTGTGACCCAGACTGTCATGGAAGGAAATCTCCTCTGGAGATGGCAGACAATCCACTCCTGGAGCATTTCTTTCTGTTGCTGGTGGAGATGGCCAGAAATGATGCCTTTGAAAAGCTATGGTACTTGCAGGTACCGGGCAGTGCTGCATGGTCTGGGCACGTTGGTGATGAGGGCACTGAAGGGAAGGTGGGAGCTGTTTGTGTACACACATACTTGCTGTGCCTGTGGAGCTTCACATGGGATGACTGGAGATGGAACCACATGATTAAAAGCAGCTTCCTGCAGTGTTCCCCTGCTGATGGTGGGCCGTGTGCTTCTTGTTTGAAACAGTTAATAACTCTGCCAATTCTGAGATGGGTGCTGTGACTTTGTGACTTAAAATAGCAGCATCTCTGTACAGGGTAAATGATAAACTTGGCACATCTGTCTAACATTGTTGCTTCATTGGGGCCTAATCCTAAAAACTGCTGTTTGCCTTAATAAGGCTGGGGCTGGTTTTGGAGCAGTTGCAGTCCGGGTTGTGGTCCTTGCTGATGCCTTGCTCCCATGTGTGCCTTGGATTTCCCCCAAGTGCAGGGGCTGCAGATCCATCGTGGTCAATTTGTCCTGGAGCTGTGCCACTGTGATGACTTGCAAAACAGTCCTGCACCCCATGTAGACCAGGCAAAGGTGGATGGGGTGTGAAGGTGGCTTTTGTCTCTATATGCTGGGATGTGCTCTGGTGTGTCTGAACAGCCTGGAAAGCCATAGCTGCAGCTGATGGGAAAGGGGCAGATCCTTCAAGTGTTCATAATTAGTCTTGCCAGCAATGACCTGGGAAGACATGCAGGGAAAAACCCTGCTGTGGGTACTCATCAGTCACTGCTGTGGTTACAGCAGGGTCCTGTGACAACATAAACTAAAACACATGTCAGAAGAGCATGAGATTCCCAGCAATGTGTGTAACATGAGGCTGAACTTGAGAAGTAATGATCTCCCTCATGGTGGAGAGACCTGGATGGTTTGTAGTTGATACCACGATGTAGCCGATGTCCTGCTGTAGTGGAAGCTTCTGGGAGCAGAGTCTTATAAGTATGGATGTGGGATGCAGAAAAAGGGGAGGAGGAGGCTTGAAGTGCAACTCTGCTTCTAACTACTGTATTACATTTACATGGCCTCATCCTTGAAGATCTTTCAAACTGTTCTGGGGCAGAAGGTGAAATATCTCTGTGTAAAATGTCTCCTTATTCAAAGAGGTAACTACAGCTTATTCTCTATGTGAAGAGCAATGCTAAGAAGGCAGTAACTCTACTGCAACACAGAATTGCTTGGGTTTTCAGCTTCCTATGAGCTCTATTTTTGTCTGTCTCTTCCAGCCTCCCTTTAAAGGAACCACATTCACAGACCTGCCCTTGTGTTTACAATTGAACATCATGCAGCGACTGAGTGATGGTAGAGACCTGGTTAGCCTTGGTCAGGTGGCTCCTGACCTTCAAGTGCTCAGCGAAGACCGGCTGCTGTGGAAGAAGCTCTGCCAGTACCACTTCACAGACAGACAGGTACAGCCACCACTTCCTTCTTGTACACCACTTGCAAGTGAGCACATGGGTAGGACACTCTTAATTGACTCTCCTTGGATCTAAGGGCTGTGCCACAAGCTGATAATACAGGCTGGCATGAGGATGGCTGTGAAGATGATTTATGTAGAGGGCTTTGCATGCCACAGCAATGATTCCTGAAACAGGAGCCTGAGGAATTAGTCATACGGTGAACTTCAACCCTAATCCAGGTAGTACCAACTGCAAGTCATGCTCCTCTCCCCACGTGTGTGGGGAAAACGTGCAGGCAAGCTCCAGCATGGACCCTGATGTCACAAGGACTGACACCCTCACAGAGAATCTCTGTGGATGTGGTCCAGTTGTACAGTCTTATGCTTTAGAGCAAGAAATCCCCTCTGAGCTGTTCTGCGAGTGACAGGACTGTGGAAAACAGCCCTGCCAGTACCCAAGTTTACACAAACAAAGATCTTTAGCCCTTTACAAGCTGGTAATCATATAATGGTTTGGGTTGGAAGGGTCCAACCCCCCCACCATGGGCAGGGACGCCTTCCACCAGACCAGGTTGCTCCAAGCCCCTGTGTCCAACCTGGCCTTGAACACTGCCAGGGATGGGCCAGCCACAGCTTCTCAGAGCACCCTGTGCCAGCGCCTCAGCACCCTCACAGGGAGGAACTTTTTCCTCATCCCTAAATCTACCCCCTTTCAGTTTGGAACCATTACACCTTGTCCTGTCCCTACAGGCCCTTGTGGAAAGTCATTCTCCAGGTATCTTGTAGGCACTCTTTAGGCACTGGGAGCTGCTCTAAGGTCTCCTCTGAGCCTTATCTTCTCCAGGCTGAACAAACCCAACTCTCTCAGCCTGTCTCCAGAGCAGAGCTGCTCCAGCCCTATGAGTATCTTCATGAGCTCCTCTGGACTCACTTCAGCAGGTCCACATCCTTCTTATGTTGTGGGCTCCAGATCTGGGGTCTTCTAAACTTAAAACCAAACCAAAGTCCCTCTCTGTATTTATGGGTGAAAGTCTGGGGTGCTTATACCAGGCCTCAGCACTTCAGGGACCACATGCCACATTTCTCTGCTGTCTTGGCTTTATTTGCTTACTCTGAATCTGACTTTGGAAGTGACTCTGGGGAAGTTAATTCAAATCCAGTCTCTGCAACTAGTGAGCCCTTAAAGATGGGTGTTTCCCAAGCTAGTGTGACAAATCATTGACTCCACAAGTCAGTGAAGGAGCAAAGTACCTCAACTTCTGAAACTGTTAAATGCAACTGTACTCACTGTCCCACCAGCCACAAGCAGTGGCTGAAGCAGTTATAAAATAGCTCCCAGTGTTTCAGGCTTCATAGGGTGATGTTCATGAAATGGGGATAGACCCTGATAGTGGTACTGGGTGACTTTTGCTATCAGGAAGCTGGTTATAGCTGGATATTCAAAGTAGGAGCTTTCTTGGGAACTGTTGTGGGGCCTCACAAGGATGTGAGGGAGAGGAGAACATGAATTGGGAAGAAGAAAGCATTATCTTTTTTGATCTGTTACGGTGGTTATTTTCTCTTCAGATTCGCAAACGGCTAATCTTATCTGACAAGGGACAGCTGGACTGGAAAAAGATGTACTTCAAGCTCATAAGGTGTTACCCACGGAAGGAGCAGTATGGTGACACGCTGCAGCTCTGCAGGCACTGCCACATCCTCTCCTGGAAGGTATGAGGGGCTGGTGGGGCAGGAGCTGTGGGGCACCCAGTGCTTTGTCTGATTGCAGCTGGTTTGGGGTGCTGCAGTTCCTTTGCCTCCATAACCTAGTGTTTTCCTACATCTTCATCCTCCCTCAGCTGTCAAGGCCCTTTCTCCCCTGTGCTTGAGATCCCATCCTTATCTTGAACAAGAGTAGTGGCCTGTAAGGCCAGCGAGGAGGGAAATGGGTGTACTGTAGGGCTGCCTGCAGTAAATCACCTTAGCATTGCCAGCAACTCCTCCTACCCATGACATGGAGGTGGAGGTCTTGGCAGCAGGATTAGCTGGAACAAGAGCTGGTGGCTACAGAAGGAGCCTAGACAAAAATCCACTGGCTGCTGTGGTGATACCCAGGGCAGGTCTCTTGTTAAACTCCTGCAGCTGATGGTAGGCTCCAGCCTCTCATCGCTCAGAAAAGGGGAAAAGAATGAATTGGATCTTTGCTGGTTTTATTTCCCATGATGTGCCAGTAGCCCCTAATACACGAAGCCTGGTTCTGTCTGCTTTGGAGAGTAGAAGTATTATTCTGGGCTCTGCTCTACTTACAGGCAGGATATCTGGCAGGGGGCAGTGCTAAGTTGGCTGATGCTCTGGCGCCCTTTCTGCAGTCTCTAAATGGAGTTGTTTTCTCCTTTCCCAGGGCACCGATCACCCCTGCACAGCCAACAACCCGGAGACTTGCTCCACCTCTCTTTCGCCGCAAGACTTTATCAACTTGTTCAGGTTTTGAACTTGGGTCACCGCAGCTTATGCGATTCTTACAGGACACTTTATGCCACTGAGCTTGGACACTCCGTTTGTAAATAGTGTAAATATTCATGTCTGTTCGAAGCTCCTGAGTCAAGGAACAAGAGGATCTCGGAGGTGAAAGGTGAAGTTGCTCACTGACGCGCAGCACTTAAGGAATACAGACTTCCATAGGACTGGTGTATAAATGCAGCACGTTGTACAGAGTCCCTTTTTTATGATCAGAGTACAAGATACAGGGCAAAAAACTTCATTTGTTTGTTTTTTAGAAGTTAAAAAAGAAATTGCCCCACAACCATTTGAGAACTCTTTTGGTTTGTTTCTCATAGGCAGCAATACGAGGCTAGGACTGTTGAACTGTTCCTCCATCTGGTTTTTATTTAGCATACATATTTATAAATATGATGTTTTAAAAATATTTATGAAAGATATCCCTGTGACAAGTTTAACTTTTGGTTTTTAAGGACACATTCTGAAATACTTGGAACTCTAGCCTACTTGTGAGAGAGAATGGCAACATACCGCTTTCTACCTCTAACAGATTGAGTACCTTTCAAACAAAAATCCAGTGTACAATGTGAACTTTTGTATTTTGTACAATGATTTAAAGGGAAATGTTTGTGATAGTAAGCATCTTTTCTTGTATTAATGCTTACCTCTTTATATTAGTTTTCTTGTTCTGTGCTCGAATGCCTACATGATAGGCAGCATATAAATACCTAAGACTTTACTCCATCCTCTTTTAATTTGTTGGGTTTATGAAAGACTAAGCAAAAGGGAAAAGAGAAGCCACAAAGATGAAGATTATCTAAAAGGGAGGAAGTTCTATTAGAGAAACAAAGGACTGGATTTAATCTCATCATGTAAATCTGTATCAACTCCACTAGTTAATTACTCTGGTTGAAATCCCAAGTAAGGTTAGAATCTGGTTCCTCAAGCCCATGTGTCCCAACACTGCTCTGTATTCCCACTGCTGTCAAGCAAATTCAGTCATCTTGGGGCAGGTAAAATACAGGGAGAACCGGACCATCCAGTCTAGTGAAATTGTGCAGTTTTTGGTCACTGGGGGACTGGCAGCATCGTATTTCCTTTCAGACTACTGGAGTTTAGGGTGATGAGTGAGACAGTGTAGAATCATAGAATGGTTTGGGTTGGAAGCGGCCTTCGGAGGTCATCCAGTCCAAGCCCCATGAAGAAACTGGTCAGCATTTTCCTAAAAACAGCAATCAAGACTGGCGTAAACAAGGGATTTCCAGCATGGCACTTGGCATCTTTGCTGCTGGCGCAGAGAAATAACCAAAGACCCAACCTAATCCCTTCCACTTCCAGTGCTGAGCTGCTTTATGAGATCATCTAACACCAGCCTAGAGCTAAACTTTTCAGTGCTATGGAGTAAGTGGCCAAACTAATTTCACTGTGGCCATGACCTGGCTCAACGTCTCCTCTCTTGCATACAATGCTTCA